TGGTTTTGTTTTGATGTCAATGCGAGAGAGAAAGAGTGAACTAAAAGTACAGAGAAGTGACTCATTATAACCAAGACAAGAAAAAAATCTATTTCCGTCGTCTCCTTAACTAACCAAATCACTTTATATTTGATCAAAGAGGCCGGATGTAGAGTAGATATACCATTTTTTAGAGATTTCCTGGAGAGTTTTCTTGACTTGTTAGCTTGCATTTTGCTGTGATGATGATACCTTGCTCTGGTGATGTTCGTCGCATGACGGACGAAAGGTTAGCACCTTTTCACCGGAACCGAAGGAGATTGCCTCGGAAACAGCGTCAGCATGAATGTTCCAGCAAGGCCAATCGACAGCTGATCAAGAGTAATTTGTCGTCGTCTTCTGGTGGAACCGACCTTCGAATCTCTTCACCGCACACTTTCACTCGAAATGGAAGCAGGCTCAACATTTATGAAACAAGAGATTCCTCAAAACGCAACTTTTCTTGGCATTTATGACTGGAACATTTTCTCGATACGTTATTCATTCGCCACACACAAATTAGGCATCTTCCAAATCTTCCTTAATGTGAGCAATGTCAATGAGGCAAAAATGCATTCACCATTACAATCGACAATGCTACTTGGCAATTTTATGAGTAGCTGTCGGCTGAACCATACATTCCTATATTCAATTTTGAGGTCTGGGCTAATTCGCGTTCTGACTAAGGATCTACTTAAAGCGAAGGTGTGCGAGACGAAGTGTCTCGAAGTTTTTTCCGACCCAAAGGCGAAGACAATTTCCTCTTGGCCCAACTCTCGTTTGGCCTTACTTCAACCTTTTTGTTGATGCCGCCCTCGAGACAATGCCCTTCGATCCCGGTGAAAATATGCTAAACTCACGTTTGCTATCGGAGCAGGGTATAATTCTCACTTTTCGTCTACAAGCATGTTAACAGGACTACCAGTAGATCAGATAAATGAAATATATTCACCATATTTCATTTGAGGTAATAAAGGAACTGGTAGTTGAACATTCCCACCTTACGTTTTCGTTGACTTTCACAAGGCTCTGCTTTCCCAAAAGGTATTACCATTCAGGCAGGGGTGGACTGCAGTCTCGACCTCTCCTGAATTGGTCTCATTAGTGCCCTCAGCGGGACTCGAACCATGACACTACGGCGTATAATCTCGACGTGTTAACCGCTACGCCAGACAGCCACGTTGGGTCACAGAGCCTCTTCCTTTATAACATTATATGGGAGGATTGTGGAAAATACAAAGTTGTATTTGTCAATGCAATTGACTACAGTATTCATTTTTCGCTGATAAACAGGCCTTTAAGACTTTTATTAGAATAAATTGACGTCATGTATGTTATCTGCGGGCAGTCTCGAAATCCTATTAACAAACAAAAAATAAATATCTGAAGTGTATTCACGCTACTTCGTTTAAGTTGATGAAGGACTGATAGTTGAATTGTCCAACAATCATTTGTGTTGAGCTGATGTTTCCATTCAATTTTACAGAGCCTTGCGTTCCCCAAAGTTGTTCTCATCCAGGCGGGAGTGGACCGCAGTTTCGACCTTGCCCAGGTCTTATCAACACCTCCAACCGGAATCGAACCATAACAATGCAACGTCTAGTCTTACACCGTAACCACTACGCCACGTTGGCAAGAGTGCCCTTAGGTGACAGAGCAGATGTGAATTTCATATCACATTCTTTGGTGGGATTGTCGATGAAGCAAACGTATTTTTGAAGAATGAATACCAAGATAATGTGGCTTCTGTTGTGGTCGCAGTCTCCTTTCGATGTATACAAGTGGGTTGACCTCGTTGTCGCAACTTGCTCGTGTTGTCAGGGCGACTGAGTAGAACTCACCTAGTCCGAAGTCGTCTGCCATAGTTTGAAAATGTACCAAGCCCACTCTCTGATGTTGGGAATCATGACAACTAGTATGGCAGACGACTTCGGACTAGGTGCGTTCTACTCAGTCGCCTTGACAACAAGACCAAGTTGCGACAACGAGGTCAACCCACTTCTACCAAACGTATTTTTGCTATAACAATCGACTCCATTACTTATGTTACGTATATAGGCAGAATTTCGAGACTGCCATTCCTTCGTCACCG